TCTTTTTAAACAGAAATTTGTCCATTAAATCATAAATGTAATAGCCCAGAAAAGTTTGCCTGTAGAAGCAAATAAAATGAATCCTATTGGAAGATGCAGTTCAAGATTATTTTTAAAAGGAGAAAGAATGAGAGAATTATATCTCCTTCTTACCTCATTGTCAACACAGGTACACCTCACAGCAACATATATAGTTAATATTAGAAAGCACTTTTCAATGTAACTACCTTTCAGTTGCTCTCATTATACTGCACAGTAAATATCTGAGATGAAACACTCCCTCCAAATGTCATTTTGAGAAGAGTTTTAGTTTAAAGAAAGCAATGTTTTTAAGGTATAAACCTTCTCATAATGTAATTTTTAACAACTTCATGATTTGGAAAAGGACCTTACAAAGTTCATTGGCAACTTGATTTTTAGGAGGCTGCATTACACGTAGTGCCCTTTTTTACCCACAAGACTTTACTGGTCTGCAAGATTTTCAACTATTATCTACACCCTGTCTTAAAAGAGGATGACTAAAACCCTAAACATTTAATCTGCACTAAGCAAACTTTCTCCAATGATAAACTTGCCTAACTATAATTTATTTATCTTTATGCTTAGCACAAAGTTACAATCCTGGTAAGCAGCTGCTGAATAATAATATAGGAGAAATAAGGTTTTTAAATCTCTTACAGAGAGAGAATCTTATGTGAATAAGAAGTGTAACTTACTTAGATTATATTTGTAGTTGGGCTTGTTAAAAACAGATCAGAGGCTTTTCCTGATCCAGAAAAGACCAAATAATGAAAATACATACTGACACTTTTCACTTTCCCAGCAATACAATTTACCTCTCCAAATGCTTCAAGCTATTTTCATTATTAACAAACTAGCATCATGTTACGACAGATGTACAGGTTCTGTATGATTTTATTTTACTTCATTTTTTTTACTGCAGCTACAGCTGATATTAAATTACTGCTCATTTAAAAGTTATAGGGAGAATACTCAAATAGATACTGAATCTGAATTTCTCTTTTTTTCTCACATTTTAAAATTACAGGTCAGCTACTAGTTTGGTATAAAAAAAAATGCCTACTCACTGAAACTATTAAATTAAGTCTTTATTAATTATGTCACCTTCCTTTTATTTTTTAGCTGAAAGAAAAATGACATGCAGCGGCACAAAACACAGCTCCACTGCACATGGCAAGATGGAATTTAAGAGCATGTCTGAGAGTTATGAATACTTCTGTGGCCTCTTAGCCTCGGTCATCTAGCCTGAGGAAAGATTTGTGTGGTAGCTAGGGCCACCATTGGGCTTATCCTAAGCCATCATCTCCCTCAAAGTTGAAGAAAAGGAGTAATAACCTACTGTAATGCCTGGATTGCTCAGGCACAGTGGGAAAGAGAGGATTCTCCATAAACATCTTATTTACTGTCCTGGAAAACAGGCTTTCCCCTTAGAACTTGATTTAAAAGAGTATCAGGAGATTTTAAAGAGAAAAGAGCTGCAAAGAACTCAATGCTGTTACAAGCTTTATTGTGAGCTATATTGTAGTGCTACAACTCAATAATAGTTTGAGACACTCTTCTGGTTTAAAGCATAAATTCTCCATAGCGGTCTCCTGTTCAGCAGTTATGGATCAGTGCTTCATGGTCAGGATCATGAAGTCAGACATTCAACAAACAGTTATTATAAAAGTATTAGCCTTTCTAGGTCCCAAAAAGAAAAGGAAATAAAAACTAAACTATAAATTATTTTTTCTGGCTTAGTGTAGCACAGACAGGATTTTGGTTTTACTGACTTATAGCTCAGCAAGTTATTTCATATTTAATCTACTTTAGCCTTGTCATTACTTGTCATTTTTTCACTGCTTTTGTAAAAGTTGCATCAGACATTTGTTATCAAAGGTATATGCAAAGATATACCATTTGTTTTTAAATAAATTAGCAGTGATTTACCCCCTTCAAATGCAAGCACTGCTATACTGCCATTTCTTGTTCAAACAGCTGGCTTTACAACCTTGCAGAAAACATCATCTCCTTTTGCATCATTTTCTTTCTCAAAGCATTTGTTCATCTGGCTCCTCATAGTGTTAATTCTTTAAGAAGGGTCTGCTCCTGTAAGCTGAATATTTTTTAACATGTGATTCTAAGCAGCTTCCTAGAAGTTAATATATATTAATAGATAACCAAACACTGAAAAGTATTATAATTATTTTTAAAAGGTTAAGGCAGAGAATGCTTACATCACAGAACCCACTGTAATATCAGTTTTCATAACAGTTTCAATTTCTACTGCTTGGTGTTAATAAAGAAACGATTTCCATTTGCATTAATAAATGCAAATATTTACAGTATATTTATCTAAAAATTGAAATTTGGTAGAATAAGATGGTCATGGGAAATGTGGTACTAGAAATGTAATCTTCCACCAAGAATATCCTCCAATATCTGATGCAAATAAATGTCTGCCATGAAAGATCTCACCCTAAGATTGCCCCACAGTACTTCACAATAAAATTACTTTGCACTCATTTCTCAATATTAAACTAGTCAGTATCAGAGAAATGTATGGTGAAGACTGCTTGCTGCTTTGGAGCTAACACTTCTATAAGACAGAAGAACCATATTTTATTAACTTCCCAGCTACACCAAAAATTTTGCTGAAAGTACCAGACGACCAACATAACTAAGCTAGTTTTAAACTAGGTAGTTCAGGTACCAATAGCAGCGTATCCATGACAACATAGAATTCAGTAGGGATAAATTTATCCTGCGCGACGTAATATCACACTGGAAAAATCCAGGTTTCTTAGCAGTTTCTGTACCCACACAAGATTGCACCCAGCACATGTTACCACTGTGCAGAAAATCTCCTTAGCACATTTTAGCAGTCCATGTTTCAAGAGTTGCCTTTTTGTTAGGAAAGACAATAAATAGCATCAGTAGAAAAGCAAGCGCTACTTAACTAACTGCACAGTAATTAAAAGCCTGAATACTTCAAAGATTAGGTCAACATTTTAACAAAGCCAGAAATAGTAACAGCATCTGAATTCTAAGTACAAGTAGCAGCTACAGTGCTTCTTCACGGGTGGGGATCTCAACAACTGCAATTCTTCCTGCCTTTGTGTGTTGGGGTGTTCAGTTTGGTGCCAGCATGTTTAATGCTGAGGGAGGCAAAACTCAGATTTATGTCAATTTACAAAATCTGGTTGGGGATGGACCCCATTATCTCTAAGACAAGAGCTGCCCCAGTTATACTAGCCAGTTATACTTCCTGTGTACATCTAGGTTAGCTTCACAACAAGATGTGTTGTTTTGCTTCCACAGAGCACACACTTTGAAAAGGTTGCTGCCACAGTCTCCCAACAGCACTTAGCAGAGTCACCTTGAAAGTCATCGAGATATACTCGACATACATGCTTTTTCCTTTTAATGGTTTCCTTTGTTAGGGACCCTTGGGGAATAATTCTTTCCTTCCTCCCAGGGGAATTCATCTATTTAACATACTACTATAATTTCCAATAGTTAGTTCTTTTTTCATTAAATTTTAAAGGTGGTGGGATTATTTCACTTGAAAGCTGAAATAAAATTCTAGATGAACTATGGCAGGATCTCAATTCAGTGCTAGAAAAATTAATAAGAAGTTAATAAATTCCCCGAATGAGCCCAACTCCATCCACCATGCACAGATTCATTGTCTGCTATGTGTCGCCTCCTCCACATGCTGTCCTGACATCAGAGACATCAGTGGCCATTAGAACTGCATTTAGAATAAAATGCTCACTTTACCAGCTGTGAATAACAGTCTCTGTCCGGCATCTCTCCTAATCCACCTCACTTGACTCTCAATTCTCCAGTAGGATCAAGGATAGTATAAAGCCAGCTGTACAGATAACACTGTTGTAGCCAGCATGAATTCCCACAAGTCTAAAAGCTAAACTTCAATTTAACAGTTTAACAGCAAAAATCTAGGATTACAAGGATAGAGCTAATAAGCAGCTCCAAAGCACTGTCTGGAAAAGAACCAATGAAAGATTAAAAGTGAGCTCAGTGATTAAATAGAAATGTATATAATAAAACGAACACTGAGTCAGCTACTGAACTCACAGCAGATAGGCAGAGCAGCTCCTTTTGGAACAAAATAGAGTTTTTCCCCACTTGTCATCTATACTCTCTTTCCTTCAAGGAGAAAAATAAAAACAAAAACCTACAAACTTGCAACCTGATAATTCCCACCCATATGCTGTTTTGAAACCAAACCTTTCAGCTACCTATTCCATTGGGAAATGACACAAATGGACAGGCCACAAATGGTTTAAAAGGTTTTGCTTGCACCAACATAAGAATAGAAGTACAGTACTGATACGGATGTCCTTGATTTTGTCACCCATTTATACTTTACAGGAACCATCTCAACCTTTTCCAAACCAGTATCAGAAGATTAATTTCCACGAAGAGCAAGAGTAATTTTGATTATGTACAACAGTAACATCAGCTTTTTCCTAAAAATTGGGCATTTCCCTGATCATTCAGTGTCCTCTCCTTCCTTCCTTTCAGCAAGAGTTTGAAATGCTAAGCAATTTTTTTTTTTTTTTTTTTTTTCTTTTCAATCCTCAAACAGTCTGGGATGTTAGACTGCAGCTAGACAGTTACATTTATGCAGTTATTGTACAATGAACACTTCTATTCAAAAGCTCATTAATAATTTCAAGAGTTCATTGCCCATACAAACTACGGTCCAAAATAGATAACAGTAACTCAATTTTTCAGACTGGAAATTGAGGTACAGAGAACTACGGACTGGCAAAGAAAGAGAACAAGAACAGAGGAAAACGTGTTTTAAAGCCACAAAATTATTATCTTTTATATATATATATTTTTGTTTCTTCCCTCTGATTCACTGCTCCAACAGAGAGCAAAGTCCCACCTTGCTACAAGCACAACAATAAACAGCTTTTTCAATTGATAAGACTAGTCAAATTAGATATAGGAAAGTTAATATTTACCTCCAAGTCAAGTAAGATAGGCACAAGGAATGTCATCACTTTGCCCACAGTTTGTCATTGAGAAATTCTGAAATTCAGTATGTATCTTGTTAGTCTTACTTTGCTACCAAAACTGAAAGACTGTCCTTTTCATTTTACACGTATATTAGTTCCAGAGGATAATCTACCATCTATGACATTAAAAGAGATGGTATTTTAATTCAATTCATTTAATTCAAGTAAGAAATATTACCTTCAAAAATAATCATTTTTCAAGCATTGCTTTTCCTCAGCTCAAGCAGAAAAGGATGATGATTCCCGCATTTGTTTTAATAATCCAATTAAACGCGCCTTCTATAAACATAGATAAACATAATACCTTCCAGACTACTGTATCTTTACAAGAAACAATCTTAAAACAACGAGGTGTTCTATCATCAAGAAATACCTAGGAGAGTGTCATGTTTACAGCTGTTTCTGTAATTCAAATCTTGACTTTTTGCAGCCCTTAGAAATAACGCACTTCGTGTGACTTTTCACACGATGTGAAGGTGACTGATTGCTCAGTACCTGGCATGCAGCACTGGACATAATCCCTTATCAGATTATGGAACTGACACGTGAATTAATTATCCTAGGATGACAGTAATCAAGCCAATGAAACAGAGAAGGTTTCACCTTAATTTTACTCTGAGTTACAGTTCAGCCAAAGAAAAAATAACAAGTGTTAAGTGTCCCAGTACTGAAATCCCCCAACAGCATATCTTAGTGTTTACAAACTGGATTCGTTATTCTCTCTGATATGTTTGATAATAATTTGGAATCCAAGTCCTGTAAATCTATACCTTGTTAGCAATGATGATTCGCTGTACGGGTAAGGACTATCTACCCAAAGCATTCTACATTTTAAGAAGAGAAAAAAAGAAAATACAAATATAATGAAGTATATGGGGATGGATAAAAATCCTCAGGTGAATTAGACCCTGCTATGCCTGATAATGACACTGATGATATCACATTGTGATTCTCAATAAACATTTCAATCAACTTTAATGATGAATGAAGGTCTGAATTCGGTGCATATAAGTAGTGCAACCCCATTGACTGCAAACATATGTACCAGAACTGCACTTCTGGTACAAAAAATATACCAGAATTCAGTTCTAAAAGCTTGTAATTATTTTAGTGTGTGTTTTTCTGATAGCCTATTACTCTAAACCAAGAGCAGATTGCTGTCAAGTGACATCCCTGAAAATCAGCACGCATTTTTGTATTTGGCATTCAAGGCCAGAGGCAGATTGATGAATAGTGTAGAACTCTGTTATAAAAGAGCTTGATTCATATCAGGAGGAGCATATTTGATGGGAAATGCTGTGTTTATGTCACACTAACAAGTATGCAGATTGAGTAAATAGTGTTAGCATCTTCATCATTTAGTCTTAATCATTCCAACAAACAATGCCATTTTGTAGTTGACAGAAATCTTTGTTGAAGTATTTCAAATGATTAGATAAACATTTACGCATTTTGCCACAGTGCTTTTCTTTGTAAGAGGAAATTCCGTTTACTCCCACTTTCGGCCCTGTACTTGACCAAGGTTACTAAAAAGGGTCACTACAGAGATCCTGGCAAAGAGTTCGGTTTCATTGGATTTAAATCACCACAGCATTTTGCCCTCAAAAATTGAATAGAACAATACAGAATAACTTTACAAGATTTTTGCTATTCAAGGTGACTAGTGTCATTAAACAAGTCTGAGTAACATAGGAACTCATTTTCTTTGAAGGCACAGGAAAGACTTGGTGCCTAACTGTACTAAGTTCATTTGAAAAATTATCAGACAAATACTAAAAAAGCTTTCTTATTTGGTTATGTATCTACTTTGAAACAAAAGGCAGAGATTTTGCAATACTTCTCTGGAGCTCCAGAAAATTTATATCTGGCAAATTTGAAAGTAGCCCTTAATTTCCACAATTTTTGAAACCTCTTTTCTGCTAGTGTAAATAAATAAATAAATAAATAAATAAATAAATAAATAAATAATAAACCTAGTGTAAATAAAAATAGCAATGCATAGAAATACTGAAAGTTAAAGTAAGTAATAACTTCTGTCAGAAGTAAAATAACAGAGAGAAACCCTCCTAAGTTTTGGAATTTCATTTCATGAAGCTTGTGGACCTACTTCCTAGAAATTCATTTAAAGTGTCATGTCTATATGTTGATGATAGCAAGATTAAACTCTGAAAAACTCAGTTAAATTCAGGTACTTGCAATAGTTAAAATGGTCCTATTAACCAGTTAGTAATAAAAAAAGCTAAAGGTAAATTGCAAAGAGTGGGAAATTGGGCAGTAGAGGAACTGTGAAATAGGAGAAATGTTAATAACAGAAGATGGAGTTTAAAAAGGGGTTAATGTAAACAAATTTTAAAGAAAGACATAAAGAGATGATGTTGACAACAGCAAAGTTCAGCTCTCCAGCAGGATTCTAATGTCGCTACAGGAACACTTCCCTCTGCCTCAGTTTTCTGGTGGATAGTCAAATGAGTTAGCTGAGCTCTCCAGTGGAATGGAATAGAGAATGGCTCACAGAGGATTAAGTTGATGTTTTGTCAATCACATAAGATTTGGGTAATTGATTACATTGGATCAGGATTTGAAAGGAGCCCTGTGGAGCTGGCACTAATTTTGGGGGCAACAGTGAACTGAAAGGTGTTTCCAGACTCTGCTGTACCCCAGCTCAACATAGCTGGAAAGGTGACAGGTCAGAATGTTTGCTTGGCCAAAATAATATTCCAAATTTCACATGAAATGAATGGTTCTTATCTTGGATAGCTTGTTTGGTTTGGATTGCACAAAGTTCCTTTTGGCACTGTTGGTGGAGCCTATGAACTGTAAGAGTCCTATTAGAGTACCAGCTGTTGCCATTTGAAGTACTGTATTTAACCACTAGACTGAGGACTTTGTTAATTATTTATCTACTCAAGAGCCTACCAGTTGACAGACTTAAAGGCAGCACGTTACACAGCTCACGTGTGACACTGTCCCGTAAAATATAACTACTAACATATGGTGCAACTTGAATAAAAAGAGAGCACAGAAACTCTCCAGAAAAGCCGAAATCTATCTAAATGACTTTTTCAAAGTAGAAAATAAATATGTGTACTAGCCTTGAGTGACAAGTTCCTAGATCATGCTGGAAAAAAAGACATCAAAAATACGTATATAACTCCAAATACTAATTGAATCTGCAAGACCAATAATTCTGAAAACAAGTTAATTACGTGCTGACTCTTTCAAATTGCAGTTGGTGATGGCAAGTAATAATTAGACAAATTATTTTAAGTATATGTCTGCTAAGTGCACACCAGCTGACTGCCCTGTGGCACCCAGAGCAAAATATTCCACAGGGCTAATGGATAGTTTCCCAGGAAATGAATGAAGAGCACAACAAAAGGGAGTTATTCTCCATTCCACCCTTGTTTTTACAGAGTTTTTCCTCTACTCTGTTTTTTTATATTGCTGAAACAGAGCAGGAATTTATTTTCATCAATATAAATATGGGCTGCTTTTAAAAACTAAATGGTTCTTTAATAAAAATGGTAACATAAAATAGAATAATTTCTAGGAAATAAGTACGGTCAAATGCAGAAAATAAGGATTGGAGCAATATATTGAAACTCTGGGCCAATATTTTGTCACATATAAGATTAGAGAGAATAAATAAATCAGTTTTCCTAAATGAACAAAGTAGTAAAACTTACCCTGTCTTAAGCAGTTCATAGCAGACTCAGAAACCAGGAGATGAGACTTCAGAAGATCTGTAAAGGATTGCAAAAAACTAACATATCAAAACCAACATCATTGTAAAATATTCCATGATAGGGAGAGGCAAAATGCTATTATAGCTGTATGATAATATAATCGTATACGTGACAGCCTAAAACATTAATGAAATATTGCCTATTTAGAAATGTCCTACAGGACATGCTGAGAGAATGAATGCGCTGTTAATAATGAGATATTTCAAAGATGATTCCTGGTAAAAGCAAATTTAACATGGCCCAAAGCAGTAAAATTAACAGTAGTAATGGAAGTGGTAGTGAAAAAAAATACTATATCTGGTCTTGCAGTGCAAATAGTCAAACCTCTTAAACAAATGGGAAGCTAGATGGAAGAGGTCTAAACAGGTCATTTTCTTTAACTTCATATGTTATAATGATGCTATGACTTAAAATATCTCAAGATCAGATACTTAGCAAAAAAAAAAAAAAAAAATCAAAGATCAAAAGCAGCCAAAAAAGCTGAGATCTTCCTCAAGAATAGAGGAAAAGAGAGAAATTGCCTTGTGGTTAAGGAAGACCAATAGTATCTGTAGCAAAATACAGCAGTAGCATTTTAGCAAAAAAATGAAGTGAAACTATATCACAGTATGCAAGAAGACAGTGGAACGTTACACAGGTATGTCTGCTTCTTTTATCAGTTAATAAACAGATTATCTAGAGAAAGTCAGAACTATAATATTAAAACTCTATTCTCTACTAAAGGTAGGGAAGAACAACGCAAGTTGAATCAACCTGTAATTAATATGAACTTAATGATCTTAGTTATATTAGTTAAGATCTAGCAGTTGACAGTCATTTGGGAATATTCATCACTTCACACTTCTCCTTTAAAGTGCAGAGGAAAAGAAAACACAGTGTAGAATCTGTTTGTTTCACTGAGGTTTCTCCTAGACTGGGCTGATGTATCTCCTGCAAATAATGATCAGTGTGTAGAAATCCATGACTGGACTGGGTATTCATCTAAGTGACAGGGCTCTCTGCATGGAACTTCCCTGCTTCTATATGACTTTTTAACCCTATTTTGACTTCCTAGTTTCTCAGAGCTCTTAACGGAGAAAGAAGGATTTCTCAGCACTTGATAGAACAAGATAAGATGAAAATGCAGTAACCAACAACTAATTTTATTATTGGGTCTCTGCTATAATAGGCTCCAGAGAGCAGGGGCCAGTCCATATGGAACAGGGTATTCTGTGAGCTATTGGTACTAGAAAAGCCAGATCGCAAAGGGGTCAAAATATAATGAGAAATTTTGAATTGTAGTTTCATCTGCATATCTTGATCTTGGTCTTTAAGAATGAATGAAGGCTTACAGCCCAGCCACTTGCAGCCAGAGCTGGACAGCTATCCAGGTGTACAGATGGAAGTTTGATTTTGAAGTGCTAATCTTAAATTCTTATGTTTTATGTAGGCAAGTATTTTTTTTTCAAGTTAGTCTTTCACGATTCACCTGATTCTTATGCAATACAGTTTATAGATTTTGTATTGACACCAAGTAGAGCAAAAGCTTTGTAACTGCTCTTCTTATACTGACTCCATAAGAACAACAATGTACAGTAAGAATTCACTCTTTAAATATGATGACCTTGCCCCAGGCACTCAGAAGATCACTTTATAGCCTATCCAGCAGCAGCAGCCAAGTCTTCCCTGAAGTCTCAGCTACTGATCTTAAATCTGCGGAAAGTAAGCTCTTCATCAATTCTATTTAATGGTTCCTAATGCATTCCAAGAGAGACTGATGCCTTTGGAGTGTTCAGACTGGGACATATTGCAAAAAAAGTAGTCAACATTTCAGACAAATCAGCCAAAACATTGTTCTGATAACACTTCTTTGTTTAAATAGTTTCATTTATTCTTTTATTGTTCCTATCTATCATGCACAGACATGTGTGATAAGCAATTACAAAAGATCCTTTACAAAATTGCATTATGTTGCTATGATTTGTACTATATGTAACCCAAGGCGTTTATCTCCACAAAGTCAAATCATGTAAAACATGTGATGGTTGGAGAATAATATGCTCTAGTTACACAACTATTTGCTAAATAAAACCTTAGACAGTTTTCAAGGTAATGTGAAGTATAATATATTCCTTCTTTCCTTTAAATATATATAATTACATAAAGATAAGTTTTTATATTTTTATTTTATATAAATATTTATTTATATAAAGATATATATATAACCCTTTATGGCAAAGCCCAAAAAAATCAATTGTGAAAAATGTGAGAGTAGTGAACTACAGTAAAGTTAGAGAGTAACTTCTTAACATTCAACATCATTACTGAACAGTCTTTTTTTGTTTGTTTGTTTTTGTTTTTTTGAGAACTGGGAAATAATGCCATGTTCTAGTTTATAAAAATTGTACAAATAATCCACTGAACTATAAAAGTATACACGACATGACACACAACAATACAACACGAGATGTTTAAATATCATAGAATCATCAAGACTGGTAAAGACCTCTGAAATGATCCAGTTCATCTGCCCACCTATCACCAATATCTCCTGCTAAACCACGTCCCTCAGTATAATATTGAAGTGTTCCTTGAATACCTCTAGGGTTGTTGACTCAATCACTTCCCTGGGCAGTCCATTCCAGTGCCTGACCACTTCTTCAGAGAAGAAATGTTTCCTAATATCCAATCTGAATTTGCCATGGTGCAACTGGACATAATTCCTTGTAGTCCTATTGCTAGTTACATGTGAGATGAGAGAAGAGGGCGAAAACCACCTCACCACAATCTTCCTTTCAGGGAGTTTTAGAGTGCAATAAGGTCACCCCTAAGTTTTCTCTTCTGCAGATTAAACCATCCTAGCTCCCTCATAAGGCTTGTGCTCCAGACCTCTCACCAGTTTTGTTGTCCTTCACGGAACACACTCCAGAATCTCCATGTCTTTCTTGGCCCCCTTGGACACCCTGTCACACTGCGGGTTTTGTGCCAAGCAGAGCATCAACCAATATCCCCTAGGTGCATTTCCTCTACACAGTCTTCCAGGCATGATGTTGGGCAGCCAGGCGCCCAACATCCCTCCAGCCCTCTCCACCGTAAGACATGGATCCACAAGGAGCATCAGCCCAGCTTGCAGCTGGAATGGTCAAATTGGATAACCTGAGAGATTTGCAATACTTAGTCTCACAAAGGAAAAGTGCACATATCAAAACAGCCTGAAAAGTCTGGGAAGAGTGACATGGTCTTCCATTAACCCGGCACTCACAAAGCCAAAAAGCCGGGCTAGAATCTATACAATCTGGGCAGCCTTCCTAACAGACCTGGTTTCCATAAAATATTTTGATGCAATCTGTGTAATTTTGAGAAATGTTTTGATATCATAGAATCTTCATTTTCCAAGGAAAGATGACATGATGGAAGTGAAATCTGCAAGTCCGCAAATGCAGGCTGAGAGAAAAAGAACAAAAAACTTACATTCATCTTACACTAGACGCAGAAAATCAACACAAGAAAGGGACAGAAGCATCACTGTGGACAGCAACTCATTAAAAAAAATTTCTTCAGTGTATACAGAGATTATAAAACAAGGGAACATTATAACAATTAAAGAGTGGGAATGAATAATATCAAAACTTCAGAATATTTAAATACATATTTAAACACTTAGGTAGCACTTCAAACACTGTTCTGGTCACTTCATCTAAGAAAGCTTATTGCAAAACTGATGGGGCAAAGAGAAAAATCGAAGATTTGGAACGACATTCACATAGATATTAAATATTTGGAATTAATTACTACAGAAAGCAAAGAAAACATAAGGAACTATGTTGAATGTTGAATTTCAAAGAAAACACTGATGTTTGGAAAAGTCATTTTTAACACCACTAATTAAATGAACAGTAGTAACCAGTGGCAGTTGAGTAATGAGCAACCTAAGCAAACATCACCAGAAGTTTGTTATCTTTCTATTTCCATCCTCTTCAGAAGGAAAATTTTGGGATTGCTACAGGAGACATCTTTTAGATCTGGACCTCAAATCTAAAATTAAATCTAATCTTAAACAAACAAACAAAGAAGAAAAAAACATCACAGTCACCAGATAGAGGCATTTGGGAGTTAAAACTAAGTTTTCCAAAATCTCTAATATTGTTTCTTATTTGATTTATGCCATCTTTAAGTCTTTACATGAGCTACAGTTTCCTAAAGTCTACTTCAATGAAAAGTCTCTAACAACCAGTCAGGTAACAAAAATTGCTTGGTTTCTTGAATGCAAGGTAAATGGGAAAATTCACATGTAATCTTAAATACTCATCCAAATCCAATAAGTTATAAAAATAGAAAAGCTGATAAGAAACGAAACTGGCACTGGCCAGCTAAAGGAAGCTAAGATTGAATACTAACATTCACTACTACTGAAAAGGATAGTAAAAGCAGCCTTTTCAAACTTGAAGTCTGAAAGTTTCCCATTATACGGCCTATGGATTAAAGAAGATGCTCCACAATATTCTCAGAAGAACTCAGCATGTATGAAAGCAGTAAAATAAGTAGTAAGATTTGTAAAAATAACATTGTGCCTAGAGACCAAGTATATCTTGAAATTTGACCTTCCGTTTGTATAGCAGAATTATGGGTCCTTCCTTCTGAAAATTTGTTCCTATTCATTTTGCTGAATACATGAAAATTGGAATTTGAGATAGTTTCACCTTCCTCTTTTTTATTTTATTTTCTAAACTTACATTGTCATCAGTGCCAAAAATCCTCTAATATGATTACAATCTATACACCCAATTTCCTGTTTAATTAAAAATATTTTAAAATACTATGACTTCTCTTCCTTCTTCAATGTTTGTAAACATATCTGGAAGCTAAGGATAGTTGTAAGAGACTAATGTCTTTAACACGGAAGTGTAACACCTTACACATGGGTAGCAACAGCTAGCACCTGGCTGGTTAGGGCTAAGGGCAGGCGACAGGATGCCTATGGTGCACCCAACCAAAATATACTGAAAAATACACTGGAAGGGCCATCAGAAATTGCTAAACATGACAGATTACAGGATGAGAAGCTGACAAAATTTACAGCTGGTGCCATGGGAATGGCAGAATTTCACTGGTGATTTAGGATGTGTTATGTGTGAAATGGCTAAATTTCACAGGTAACTGAAAGAGAGCTGTGTACACTTTGGGGAACAAAATGTTACAAAGCAAAGAGCATCTGAATAACCATATAATAATGTATGAGGTCAAGGTTAGCTAGGTAATTTAGTATCAGAAGCACAAATCTTGAGTATGTATGTAGCAAAAAGACTATGGGGTAAGAAGTAATAGTGTATGCTGTTTATTTCAGAGACCAGGGCAGAGAAAGGGAGGAACTGGAGTTGCAAAAAATGTGCCAAGAAACAGAAAAAGCAGTAACAGGAAACGCCAGTGACATATTCAGTGTTGCCCACTGAATCAGGATGATAATCTCACCCCCTTGTTTTGACCTTACCTTGTGGCCAGGTCTGCTTCCGTGGCCAGAAGGATCAGGAAGGTAGGTGGTTTTGCTTTGTGGACTGGGAAACATCTGAGATGGAGCAACTGAATGTTCAAGTACTGTGATGGCAATACCCATTCCAGGCCTGACAGCACAAGGGTATTTCTGGGTGTTTGTGGTATACCCAGCTTGTTGGAATTCCCTGAAGAGAACTGATGTTTTTTTTTTCCAAAAAGATGAAATACCTGTAAAGTGAGGGGTAAATAATCTACTGTTGAAATCTGTAGTCTGTCCAATTCATATTTTCCTTAGGCAAAAATTCTCTGAAAAGCAGTAATTATGCTACATGAAGGAAAACTCATCGTAGGAAATACTTCTCAGCTAGTGAACTTAGTCTACAGGTGAGGTGATAAGCAGAGACATAAAGCCCAAAGTGTCCCATGGGATACAAGACTGGCATTTCCCAGATTTCTTTCTGACTTTTTTCTAACATATAGAGGAAAGGGGAGACCAGAGAGGGCCGTGGTGTATGTGTGTGTGTGTGCGTGTGTGTGGAGAGTAGAACAAAGTACCTAAACCCATCACTAGAAATAAATCCCATTGATGCAATGATCACTGAACCAGACAGAAGCTTCAAGCAATAATGCAGGATCCAGTGCTATTTGTTACCTCCATGTGCTTACATACAGTTTTTGGTGAAGGATTTGAGAAAATGAAACGCCTACCACGCTGCCAGTATTGGCTGGTGCAGCTGCACAGCACAGCAGGGAGGGCTGGCCTGGGCTGCCTGCCAGACACTCTCTCACTCCCCACAAGTTAGTGCAAGGAGAAAATAAGGTGAAAAGGCTTGTGCAAAATAGGGATATCACTTGACAACTACAATCAGGAGCAAAATAGACTCGGGGAAAATTTACTTCTAAGTCACATAGATTGAGACGGTGAGAAACAAAAACAAAAATTAAAGCAACACCTCCCCAGACTCAACTTGCCTCCTTCATTCCCATCTTCTTGACATTTCTCTGCCTCCCCAGAGCAGGAAAGCAGTGTGTAACAGTCAATGCATAACAGTTCTCCTCCTCCTCCTCCCAGTCTTCTCCAGCTCCAGCACAGACCTCTGTGGGCCACAGATCCTGTCAGCAGCACCTGCTGCTTCGTGGGCTCTCCACAGCCTATGGGGGCATCTGTGCTCCTCCGCTGCGCTGACCTTGATGGTCACAAGGCTGTTTCTCACACTTTTTACCTCACTTTGCACTGCCTGACCAGCATCTTTGCTCTTTTTCTTCAATACACTTTCACAGAAGTGCCACCAGCTTGGCTGCAGGGCTCAGCTATGCCTGCTGGGGGCAGCTGCAAAATCAGCCAGAACCAACCAGAACCCACCGGAACCTTCCGTGCTCTCACAGAGACTGCTCCTGCAGCAAGCACCTGAACACCTGCACGCTGTAGCTATGGCTATTTTCCTTCATGCACACTGAGTCATAAATACAAAGTGTTTACATAGGAACAGTAAAATAGGTTGGCTTTGTGGTACGTGCAGACATCACCTGACGTGTGACAATAGGACTGGTCTGTCTGTTCCAATGCACAAAAGGATCAAGAGTGAGATGTTGCCATAGAGTTAAGTGAAGCTCCATTAGCATAAAAACTCTACCTCATAAGCTGCCACACGTTAAACCATTTGCTCTTGAACTGTTCGATAGTTACCACCTTTAAGATGAAGGATTTCTGATTTTGTTTCTAAGTAATGAAGTACTGACTGCTACCATCATCCCGTCAGTTTCCGTACATGACCAGGGCTGCGCTCCTTGACACTGTTCAATTAACCTTTCATCAAAGTATGCAATCAGAGCAGACACACAGCAATACACATTATAAATGGCTCTCATGTATGCTCACTCAGCTGTTGTAGAAGTAATAGGCAGACCTCCTGTACTAAGGGCTAATATAAGGACTTCGGTTAAATGATCCTTCAGTTAACACAAGTAAAAAATATTTATATTACTGTCTTACCATATAATGAATGCTAAGTACTTCCATCACAGAGCACACAGCTAAACAGAGAATCAGATTACACATAGATTTCTAAATATTAATGAAACTAGATTTATCCACTGTGAGGGTAAGTACTGTACATTTTACATTAAAAAAAGATTTGAACCTACTAATAATTGTGGCTTTCAGTATCTTTATAACTTATTAACTATGAAAGAACAGTCTCTGTTCAAGCTATGTCTGCCATTCCTACCAGTTACCATTTTTTTTTTTTTGTCAGAGTTCAAAGAGGAATGGGGTGACAGTCCTGGCTGGCTTCAAGGACATTTGAAGGTCCATCTTCCTTACTCCTGAAGAGCAATGTCAGAGATTAAACCACTGAGTCACAACAGTGCATGCTTGGAGCTAAAAAAAAAAATCATGCATTATGGGACAGCATTAATAATCTAATTATATCTAAAACCATCCACACCCTGAATTTGGAGAAGCATTGATGTTTCTCCTACTGAAAACACCATACCTTCTTTTACTCCCAAAAATAACTACTCCTGCACAACAGAAAACATACTAGTCTAGAAAGCTTCATTGATATCCTAACAACAAAGGAAACAGCAAATTCTTTTACTGAGATTCTTTAATACATTATGAATATTGTTTGATGCAGTAGACTAAGACAACTATCCAAGTCATGAGCCTCTTCATTTATCTGTACTCTAAACAATATTAAGTTCATCATTCCCTATCTTTAGAGAGTATTTAGACCAATAGGGATAACAAAGGAATTTTGCAAAGCTGGGTGTACTAGCATCAACTGCTACCAGTTTTCTGGATAGATGATACTGATCTTTGACTGAAAAGTTATATGCACTACTTTCTTCTAAAGGTATCATCTACACTTAAATTTCTTAAATATCAGCACATAACAATTACTTTTCCTTGTTATAACAGTGAACATCTGCATTTAAGAGCGTATAGCAAAGCTATCCTCTTCTATAGAAGTATACCCTCTTCTATAGAAGAAATGCCTATTTTTTACTGAATTTAAGACCACAGAAAGGGAAATAAAGCAAAGAGAAAGAGTGTGGAGACTTACGCGTTCATGATTGTATGTCTAACAGAAGCCTGTCTTAACAACTGTTATCTCAGATGACATCATACTCGAAGAGTATTTAAACAATTATCTTTGAAATTGCTATTCCATTACTAGGGTATAAATCCCTCCAAAAAATTCCCAAAAAGCTTAATGACTACATAACAAAGTTCTGAAAAATCACTGTTTCTCCTCATTCTTGTCCATCCTATTTCACAAAACTAGACACAAACAATGCAGAAAACTCTGTTCTCAAAGGGAACTATCAGTGTTGCGGAATCCTGTTGGCTGTTGAAATGATTTAGCCAAAAAAAAAAAACAAACCAAGAAACTCTCAGAAGAGCCCCCAAAAGTCTTTTCCGAAAGGAGTTACACTCAACAAGAAAAACAAAAAGCAGAGTCCCAATTACTCAACTGAGACTGTGTGCTAATTGATATGCCAGTCCTCCAGTGGCCTGCAGGAACCACTGCAGACAAGAATGGTAGGGGAGAGCTTCAGTTACACAAACCAGCAACATCTGAACACATAATGCACATCCAGACCAAAGAAAAAAGTCATCACAGACAATCTAACATTAGAAATCCCCATTGATTGATTAGCTCAGCAGATTAAACTGACAGTGCAACAATAAAACAAGATTCTATTTTTCTCCCTCCATCTATTTTCATGGGTATTGCATCACTGAATCAACTTCTAATAAAATCACCTTTATATATATGGCTAAGACTAGTATATTTCATCTCTTAATCCAGTTTATTCAAAAGTGAGAATGCTTCAGTAAATTGGGCTCAGCTTTTAAAATGTGTTAAAATACTAGGATAATTTCTAGTCCTTCATAATGCATTGCTACATGGAGCACTCCACCATTGCAGCCAGTATCAAATGTAAACTTCAATGGTTACTTATTGCTGTTTCTTCTCTCTGATACTATATACCAGATAATATTTGTCATCACTCCAGAAATTAGAGCTTAACTGTACACCTTTATTGTAGGTATGTGATTTTCAGTTCTAACAAGGCTTTGTCCAATCTCCAGAGTTTTCCAAACATGATGTGTATTACTTGATAATACAATGTTCATAGGTGTGAGCAGAGGAAATATGTTAGATCTCAAGAATCTTCAAGGACAAAGAGCATCTAAACAGACAAGAGAGAGCATTAATTAATTTGTATCTCCCATCGTGGCTCTCTTCCTCCCCCTAAAAAAACAGATGATGTAAGTTTAGACATTTGATGCAGAGCTATCAACAACAGGAAGTAAACCAAAGAAAAAGTCAATCTTGAAAAAACTACATTTTTTCATTTCATATGTATCTTTTTGCTGTATAAAAGAATCACTGGTTAAAGAAAGCAAAGATGCCCAAGGGCAAAGAGGAGCTTTGGATCAGCAGAGCCTGACAGATGCACATAGCTATAAAGATTTTTATAAATCTCAAGAGAGAGATGTAAGTATTACCTCACTCTGGGGCTACCAAGGGACACAATTTTAACATTAATAATCAGTTACTTATACCAAAGATGTTTAGAGTAGTTATGTTTATCAATCCATTCTTTCCAGCAAATTTCTGACTAGGGAATAGCAAATGCTACTCCTAGATCAGATATAGGGTAGTTCTGCCATGAGGAAAACCACAAAGTCACTTTCCACCCGGAACACTTTATGAAAATACTTAGTGTTAATCTCAGAATGTCAGTTCAACTTTTTTTCATAGTGTAAAGGAAATGCTTACTATAAAGAGAAGAAGGTTTGCCTTAGTGTAAGAGAGATGGTCACAGATTGTGACAAACCATCTTGCCTAAGAAATAGTCAAATATGCTAATTTTGTTAGAACGGGGAAAAAACAGCTTCTGAATACACAAATATTTAATGAGCAGAACTGACTTGATACTTTGAATTTTTAAAAAGTAAAACTTTGATGAATCTGTCTAACCTTTAGCACATTTCCAAAAAAATTATCATTTTCCTCTGGTATATTTCAATTCTGTCAGACCAACACCTGCTGGCAGAGAACTGTCCCATCTATTAGGAATTCCATGTGCCGTTATGTCTTAAATGCAATATAACACAGCTGTGTAAATGATGCTAATGTATTTCTAATTGAACCTCATAAGTGTACTGTAACTGGTTAGTCTTTAA